ACATTTTTTCTAGAACTAAAATACAGAACGTTTTGTTTTAAAGGTACATCAGACTGTTAATGTTCTTCATAAATTATATAAAAGGTCATTCATAAAACTTAAGATTTAATGACTTTTGGATGAAACAGAAAATGTCTGTAAGCTCCTCAATCTTAAAAAGAAGGATTATTAAAATAACCAATTAGTAATATCTAATTTATATAATAAATAATACGAATTATTTTCTTACTACTTTAGAAGTGGGTTTCCCTGCTCCATGACCAGCTCTTGTTTCAATACGAATCATTAGTGGATTTTTTTGTTGGGGTAACTGTCCTATTTTGTAATGTAATTCGGCAATAAATTTAAGAGAATGTAGAGGTACTACACGGTCATCATGATCTGCAGTTAACAACAAAGTGGCCGGATACTGACCTTTATCTAAAAAAGAAAAACGGGATGCGAACTAGTTTTCTAAAAATATAACAAAAATAATCACTTGAGGGTTCTTTAATATTGTGTAAAGGTGAATATTTGTATAAATATTTGAACTGCTCATCGTTATCGCTGCATCCGTAATCTGATGTCCAAGCATAACCAATCGTAAATTTATGGTAACGTAACATGTCTAAAACGCTAAAATAGAATATCAGAATTTTTAATAGAAGTCTAGATTGCCTAATCAACAGCTTTTAATTTACTGAAACTTACCCAACTTGACAAATAGCAGCTCCAAATAGCTCAGGGGTCTGATTAATACATGCTGCAACTAGAAGGCCGCCATTTGAGCCACCCTGTATAGTCAACTTATTAGAACTGGTATATTTATTTTTAATAAGATATTGCGCAGCATACTGGAAGTCATCAAAAACATTTTGTTTGTTCTCAAAACGACCGGCATTGTGCCAGTTTTCACCATACTCTCTGAAAAATATATATTTAAAAGAATACAAACAATGTTTAGAATGTCTTTACCCGCCCCCTCTTATATTTGCTAAAGCAAAAATTCCATCAAAACTATTTATGAAAACTAAACGTGAAATAGCAAATGAGGGTTGAACATTAATATTGAAGCCTCCATAGCCGTAGAGGAGAGCTGGCTTTGATCCATCATATTCCAAATTCTAAGAAAAGAATTCATTAGAATTCTTGACAAATATATGATTCCAGCGCAAATGTTGAGATCGAAAATTATCTTGCTTTGTCAAAATTGGCGATTTTGAGATATATCAAAACTGTATAATTACATTTTCCACACTATATTCATTTATTCTAGTAACATACGCTAACGTCGACTTGAAATGGTAAAGTTAACGAATTCTATCTTACACATGTACTTTAAATACTTTTTTTTAAAGAAAAACAGTTTAAATATCCTAAGTAGAAGCTACGAAACCGATTTTCATTGAAATTGAAATTTTCTTATGTGACATTAATATTCAAGAAATTACATTTCAAATGGTTAAAATCAATTTCTTTAAAAGCTTATAACTTTTCAAATAGCGTTCTCTTTTTACAAATTTCTGCTTGTGTATCTTATTATATCAGACAAAATCACAATTTTGACCTCTGGCAAGATAACACTCCTTTTCATATTTGACATCAAAGATAAATAAAATGTAATACTTGTACTTCTTACTTTTCTGTGTACAATAAACATAGGAATTTTAGTTCCATCTTTACTATTATAAAAAACTTGTTTACTTTCATACATGGCAGGATTAAAGTCTCCAACTTTGGTTTCATGAAATATCTACAACATTGTCTCATGGTATTAACTTATTAATTAATTGTTTGTAACTTACTTCTGGCTTAATTTCTGATTGTGTGAAATCAACTCTGAATATTATACTCGGAGTTAAGAATGAGCAAAACCCATAAAACATTTCTGTATGGTCTCTTTCACCTGACATACCAGTAATGGTACCTAACTCTACTGGAAAATCTAAAATCTTCTCTCCATTTTCAAGTTTATGAAGCGATAAAGTATTCTTAAAATGAAAAATTACATTAAAAAAATAATCTAATAAACAAATAAAATATTACTTTAACATCTTGTAGATAACATATAACTAAGCAATTATTGTTAATAGGATTGGCCCAGTCTAAGACATCTTTTGGATGTTCTGGAACTAAAGTTTCCCAGTTTTCCTCATTCGGATTATTTAGATCAATAACAACCAATCTATAATTAGGTGCATCTTTATTTGTACGAAAGATGCATCTACTGCCACTATTTGTAATGTACTGAAATAATACCAGCTTTATAGATTTGATACATAAATAAATACATACTTGTTTATACTTCATAATCAGCCTTAAATTCAGTTACAATTTCTTTCTTTTTCAGTAAAGTTTTTATTTCAGTAACTTCTTGTAAATCACAAACATAAACAAGATTATTTTTACATCCTATAACTGGAGTCAATATTAGATATCTTCCACAGTCACTAACATGTGCACCTCTAAAATAAAAACAAGTCTTTTTATTTATATTTCTACAAAGAATTAAAATTGATGAACTTACATTCTTATTTGTGGATTATCAAATTCCACAACTAAAATATCATCTGCCTGATCAGTACCAAGCCTATGATAATAAAGTTTTTGATTTTCACTTTGATTTGTTTCTGAGCCATCAGTTTTTCCTTGTTGATTTAAGTAAGCCTTAAATATATTACATTAAAATAGAAAAAAAAACAATAATAAACATATTTATACTAACTCCATAAAAAAAGCCGATGTTATCATGGGTCCAGGTCANAAATATATTACATTAAAATAGAAAAAAAAACAATTATCTCATTTTCGTGCTCATTATAAACCTGTCGACCTAACCTTTGCATCTTAAAATATTTTATGCATATTAAAAAGTCATGTTACAATATGCCTAATGTGATTTGATCACGGAAAGATACGTATTTAATTAAATATTTTAATTTAATTAGATTAAGTTCATATTAGTTTAAAAAAGTAAATAAAAAAATGATTCATTTAAATGCATTGAAAGTTATATTTGGTTACCTGTATGTAAAAACAACTTGACAATATGTAATTCTAGAGCAAACAAAAAGAAAAATTACATTTTATATTTGTTCTGTATGTATTCATTGTTTGAACATACAGTCAATCAATTGTATTCACAACCAGTATGGTCGCAGATTTTGTAGCTATCTCACATATGAGATATATTCCTATTTGATAGAACAAAATTTTCAATAGCTAGCGGAATGCAATGCCCCGTAGCAAAATTACACAAAACAATCGCGTGGGCAAGCAGTTTTTAGGACAAATAAAAGCAAAATATAAATACGATTAATAATAGCCACACTTACAGTATTTGGCAGATAGAATATTATTTGAAACAACACTTAATCTATAGTATGTAACATTGAAAAAGTCATGATGAGTGAAAAGTATTACAAAAAGAACTTAAAATGCCTAATTGTAATTTTATCTTTAAAACCGAAAACACTTTCTTCTACAGATATTTGAACCTCGATATTTTTCCATTAGTTCACAATTCAAATTTATGTTACACGCACTATTAAATTGATCTAATATAATTAGTTGCAAAGTAAAAATTTCACTGTTACACAGCATTAATTTATTAACTAGAATTATTTTATAAAAAAATATTTGAAAATTATTAAAAACAAAAAAAAACAAGTAGAAACTGGTTTGTATCGTGAAAAATCCACCATTCAAAATATTTAATCTTTTATTTACATTCATTTTTCAAATGTTGAGCAAGCAGAGTTGACTATTACTTGCTTGTGTCATTTTATTACATATTTTTAATTAATTCAATGAGATAAAAAACGAAAAACAATGCAGCACATTCAATCACATCACACTTAAATGAAGTACTTACTATATCAGTCATTAATAGTAGAAAATATAACAACAATTTTTTTGAAGATGTTTAGAATTAATCTCCAAACTAGCGCTATGAGCTACTAGGTATAACATACACTCATCTGTTTTTTCCTGTTCTCTAAAGACTTGAAACATTCCTTATATCCTGAAATTAATTAAATAGCTACTTTTCGTATCGCAATAAATTGAGAAAATTTTCTTACAGTGTACTAGCTGATGTCTTACAAACTATGCAGCTCAGAAATCAAGAAATAAGGAATTAATGTGGCCCTTAGAGATTATTACAAATAAATGTCATTTTAAAAAGCGACGAGGTAGAGGTTATTCTTTTTAATCCAAACTTAAATATTGACATTCCAATACACGTACAAGAAAGGTGTGGTGTTTAAGGAACATTAATATTTAAAAAAAAAGGCAAAAGATACTGTGATCAGCAAATGAAAACTAAATTCCTAATTAACATACAAGTTTAATAACGATTGGGAATTCCTCTTTAAAAACCTATTAATACAGCAATACTTTAAAACAAACAGTAGATTAGTTAAAAGCATGAAACCCAGTTATTTACATTTTTGAACTGTTATAAACTAAATCGCAATCACTACAAGCAAAATCAGAGGAACAACCCAACCCTAAAAACTTAAATCTAATTCTTAAAAACCATATTGTGGTTCAAGCTTTACTATAAAAATTAAAAATGTTTTAACTCTTTTTTTTTTAATTCAAACCTGTACCCGCCCTCTGGATAATCTCAGTAAGTTTTCGTGAACTTAAAACTAACTGATCAAATCTACATGTTGAACATCCTTCAGAAAAAATTACTATATATACTTGGCAACGTGATTCTAGAGAGGAAAATGTGTTAAAAAAAAATGTTAATAAGCACCAATACCTGCTTTTACATTTGAGCAAATATGCTCAAAATTAATTGCTAATTAATAAGATGTATCGTAGTACGTTTTTAAAATAAAAACTGGTTAACGAACGTGAAATTAAAAATTAATAAGTGTCTTTTTCTCATCGATATTTATATGCGAATATCATTTAAGACATTTTTTATACATTTTTGACAAGTCTTAATAAAAAAAAAGGAAACATTGTGTAAACTAATCACGCTACACTAAGGTTAGAAGTTAAAATTTTTGAAATTAAAATCACTTCTCGCACTATAACTGGGAACTAATTAAAAAAAAAATAGTTGTTTTATCTACCTGTATATGGGAAAATAAAAACGAAACAACCATCACTCGTTGATTATTAGAGTTATTTTAAAATGTCCTGGGCCGCAAACTGCGCGAGGGTCAGACCTTTTACATTCTATTGTACACTTCAAAAACATTGACTGGACCGTTAGCCATGTAAACGATGATGACCACACGGCCAATATTTTTTTATCGAAAACTAAAACTCAAAAAAATAGGTAGTTTTGTCACTGCACAACTCAACGCCAAAGCCCAAGATATTCTAAACTAGCTCTACGGAGCGGCGTATAAAAATACGAAAAATGGGATAAATAGAATATTCATTTACATTTTCGCGCTGTAACATAAAGCTTACGCCAACGTTTATTAGAAATATAATCACGTTTATAAAACGAAGAAATTGTTGATAGAATTATGCTTTTATTTGATGGTGAAATTTACCGAACTGCAATAACAGCAAACGGATGTAGAAAATTAATCTATAAAAAATAAAAGCAAATGTGTTACTAGTAGGACATAAGTTTTTGACACAAGAATAACAATCTCAGTTCTGACTAGTAACAATCACCGTTTGCAGTCTGTCATTGAAAAACTGCTGCAATGTTCGAAATTTAGCTACAGGTTTTTGGCTAGTTATTATTGGAATTTGTACCAAATAATTAACAATTGCAAACGTTAAGAGTTAACAAAACGGTAAAAATGAACAAAAATTTTGACTTCTTAGCTGAGAGAGGGAAAATCGCGTTCATCATCGACTTTTGGTGCCCTTTCTGCACGCTGTGAAGAGTCATCGTGATCCTCGTTAGCCACACCACCAGCTCCAGCCCCTGGGCCTCCACGGAAACGTTGTTGTGGTTGTTGTCGGTCTCTGTTTGATCTTGCGCCACGACCAGCTCTTCCTCCTCTGCCACGTCCACCAGTTCCACCACGTCTACTATCGTTGAAATGAATATCAATATCCAGTATATGTTTTTGCCTTCCAACACGTTGTGGGTATTCATTTTGATCATATTCTTCTTCCTCGGATTCCTTCAAAAAAAAAAAAAAACATTAAAATTCTCTACAGATTTCAGAAAATCAGTAAATTTAGAATATTGTGCATCAGAAATTCAAAAACAATCAGGTATATAAAGATACCTTTACTTTTAACATAAAAGTGGTATTTCAATCAATTTATCTGGAACATTTTTAAGTTAATGTTAACTGGTATCATTAAAGTTGTTCAAGTAGTATAATAAAAGAGAGAAATGTAAATATAATCTTACCTCAGTCTCTTCTTCCTTTTTCTTCAATTCATACATCTTTTTCCATTGGGTTGGGTCTTCACCTTCTCCGGCTTTACGTATGTTATATTGAGGTTTTGTACGACCAGCGCGTTGAGCCTCACGTTGAGCCTTCCATTCATCCAGAGTGAGTTCCTTTGGCTCTTCCACTTCTGGAGCAGCTTCTGGTTCAGGTTCTCCACTATCCCTAACATAGTTGAAAAATTTTAATTCAAAATAAGTATAAGTTTTCGTTCAGTAGTTTGGCAAACCTCATGGATTACTTACTTATTTTCTCCAGCTGATAATCCAGAATCGTTTTTATCGACATCGCCCCAGGAAGCATCAATTTCTTCAGCCTTGTTAACTTCTCTATAATATGAATTTATTAGCAATAAACAATTGTCGGTAAACCTCATACTCACTCTATAATATCCTTGTGAGATCCCCAATTATGTGCACCAGCTCCGTCTCGTTTTTCAATCGGTTTTACGCCACTACAAATTCAATAACACTTCATTATAAACACCAGTATAAAAATACAAAAACCTACGTTTTATCTGATCCACTTTGTCTATCAAATTCCCGCTTTCCTCGTCGCTCAAAATTGCGATTATTCCTAGGTCCGCGAGGTCCATCTTTATTTCCAACATTCCTGTTCCTTGGACGTCCCTCAAAGTTATCAGATAAATCTTTCCTTGGAGGTCGATCATCTCTATCACTATATTTATATCACTGTATTGTAAGCACGAGATGCACAATAGAAGCTTCAAAAACTTACCGATTTCCATCTACAGGTCCATTAAATTGTCTATCTTCACGATTTCGCCGGTTATTTCGTTCCTCACGATTTTCGTTATTGAACTTGTTAAAGTTTCTTTCTGGTTTGCTTTCAATATTAGAGCGTGGATTAGGCTTAGTATCTACAATGATGCGATGCTTAACGTTTCACTTTATACAGACAGAATGTGATGGTTACATGAATTCAATTATGCTACTATCACATGTGCAATTTAGGATGATGGCTACCTACTTACCCTCACGCTTGCTATCTTGGGGCTTGTGGGCCGGAGTCTCTTTATTCGTTTTCTTGGAACCTTGTACCGTTTTCACTTTAGTCGGGGCATCCGTCTTTATTTTATTTTCCTTCTCAGAAGCCTTATTCTTCTTCTTTTGCTCTTTTTCCTGTTCTTTCTCTTTAAGAAGTTCTAGCGGATCTGATTCATCATCCAAAAAAAGAGCATATCTATTACGTGTGCCAATTCCATAAGAATTCTCCATTATAGTTGTGGCAACGATTAATCTTCACAACGACGAGATGTTGGAAGATTTGTTTTGGCTCTTTCGCCAATGTTTTCACGCACTCATTCAAGACAATATGGCCGCACTACTCAATCAGTCGGTTGGTTTACCAAAGTGACGCCTTGTTGCCAAATATAAGCATCTGACAAAACAATTTGAAAATATTTTTTTTACTTTTCGACTCCTTTAAAATTCATAGCTTGGGACAATGGAGATTATTTTTTTAAAATTTATTATGATATACAAGCAAATAAAGGGAATTAAGATAGATAAATTTATAATAATCTAAATGAAATTTTAAATTTTGTGGAAGTTGATATACATTCGACAACATTGTTGTTGTAAAGCGCATGTGTAAGAAAAACCGGCTGTTCCATTAGAATGCCTTACAGGGCAAGGGCAAGCTGTAAAACTTTGAATTTATTTATGATTTATTATTCGTTTGAATAATATTTATCAATCATTTTAGTCCATTTTCTACAAAGCTTTTCAGTTACCGCTTGTATAAATTAAGCCATTTAATAAATACTTCATTACTTCTGAAATATAAATTTAAGATTTTTCCAATGGCGTATCACGCGTGTACTTATAGGCGTATAA